TTATATTTTTAAATGTATTTTTTTATTTTTATCTATTTATTCACGTTGTTCAGGTGGTAGTGCCAACAATTCCTGCAAATACTTTTCATGTTCTACGTAGACAAATGCATCGAGCCTTTAGAGCAAATAAATAGACAAATAATGTGTTGATATTTATATTTTTAAATGTATTTCTTTATTTTTATCTATTTATTCACGTTGTTCAGGTGGTAGTGCCGACAATTCCTGCAAATACTTTTCATGTTCTACGTAGACAAATGCATCGAGCCTTTAGAAAACCTCTGGTGGTTTTCTCTCCCAAGCGAATTCTCCGACTGCGTCAGGCGATGAGTTCGCTCCAAGATATCATGGAGGGCACCCGCTTTAAAAGGTAATATATATATATATATATATATATATAGATGTGCATATATAGATATTTAGATGTGCATATATATATATGTAGATGCACATATGTATGTATGGATATATATATATATAGATATCATGGAAGGCACGCACTTTAAAAGGTAAAAAGTATATATATATATATATATGTATTCTATTTATATTTATTTAATTGAAATGAATTACTATGTTGCAGATATATCCCCGACAACTTCATCGTCGATCCTCTTCGCGTCGATCGTTTGATTTTATGCTGCGGCCAAATTTTCTACGATCTCCACGCTGAGAGGGAGAGGCTTCAAAGTGAAAGCAGTGCAGCAGATAATCCAGGTACTTTGCTGCTGTTGCTGTTGCTGCTACTGTTACTGCTGCTGTTGCTGCTGCTGCTGATGATGATGATGATGCTGATCATGATGCTGATGCTTCTTTATATTTGCTTCCTGATGCTGCTGGTTGTTGCTGCTGTTTGCTGCTGCTGCTGTGGGTTGTGTGTATGTGCCGTTCCTTTTTGTTCATTTTGCTGTTGCATATGCATCTGCATCTGCCGCATCTACAGCTGCTCTCTCTATTGCTTCGGCTGCTACTGCTTCTGCTGCTCTCTCTCTGATGCTGCTCCTGCTGCTGCTGCAGGGTACCGTGTAGCAATAGCTCGCGTTGAGCAGCTGTCTCCTTTCCCTTTTGATTTAGTAATAAAAGACATTCAGCGTTATCCAAACCTCCGCAGTGTTGTCTGGGCGCAAGAAGAGCCGATGAATCAAGGTTAGCAAAAATAAATAATAATTTATTATCTTCTTTTTGTTTTTTTTATTGCTTTATTCTTTTTTCTCTCTTCTTTATTCCCTGGGTTTTTACAGCAATTTGTTGGGAGGATTGCTTCGTAGTTGTTTTGTTCATTGCTTTTTTATGTTTATCCTTTATATAGACAGCTTTTATATGTATATATATCTATATGATATGTAATGTATATATTATAGATATACTTGTATTAGAATGCATATATATTCATATCTGTTTGTCGTGTAAGACGAGTGAATGCGTGTATATATACATATATATTTGTTTTAATTTGTTATTTATAAGTAATTAATTATTTATTATTATTTAGGTGTTTGGGGTTTATTTATACAAGCAAAATAATAAAGTCTTGTCTGTCTTATTTGGGTAGACCTAATAAAATGACAAGACATATATATATATATTTGTTTATTTTTGAATTTTATTTATTAATTTATTGTTTATTATTTATTATTATTCAGGTGCTTGGGGCTATACAAGCAAAAGAATAGAATCTTGTCTCTTTCATCTGGGGCGGCCTAATAAAATAGAGAGGCCCCTATACGTTGGTCGCGATGTCTCTGCTACGACTGCTGTAGGTGATAAGCATTTGCATGATAAAGTAAGTAAAAAGGATAAATTATATTTACTTATTTTATTTATTTCTTTTATTCTTTTATTGTTTGTTTTGTGCTGTTGTTGTTAGATATTCACTTCACTTGTTTGTCTCCTTTGAAGGAGTTCTTTATCTTTGTTTTTTATTTTGTTTTTCTTGTTTGTTTTTCTTTTCTTCTTCTTTGTTTGTTTACTCTGTCTCTCTTGTTGTTTGTCTTTATATTCACTTTTATTAATTTTTTTGCTTTTGTTTGTCGCGATGCTGTCTCTGTCTTTGTTTATGCTGCTGTTTTTTTACTCTTTTATGTATTTTATGTTTATTGTTTTGTTTTGTTTTGTTTGTTTTATATCTTTCTTTTTTAATTCTTTGTTGTTTATTTTTTATTTTCCTTTCTCTGCTCGTCTTTGCGTCCATTTGATGTCTCGTTTGTCTCTGTTTGTCTTTCTTGTTTGTCTCTGCTGTTTGTCTCTGTTTGTCTTTGTCATTTTCTCTTTGTCTTTTCTGTGTCTTCCTTTGTCTTTGTTTGGCGTTTTTCTCTTCGTATCTCTCTGTCTTCTCTCTTTCTCTCTCTCTCTCTCTCTCTCTCTCTCTATATATATATATATATATATATATATATATATATA